AAAAAAAAAAAAAAAAAAAAAAGAAGAAGAAAAGGAAAAAGAAAAACAAAAACAAGAAACCTCGCCGACATCGAAATTGTATGATAACATTGCAAGATAGCGCGCGAGATAGTGAGTTCGCGCTGGCTTGGTTGCGTCACGGTCGTCGAAGTTGAAATGCAGCGTCAGTAAATATTGAAAAATATCGAAAGTCGGCTTCGCGATTTCCGAAACTGCGAGTCGATCGAAGGACTCGACTGTCGAACGTTGAATCGCGGAACGATCTCGATTTATCGGTCATTTATCGAGGTAAATGGTCCGCGATGCGCCCTGTCGCGCCGTCGAGCCATCGACAGAAGGCCGCGCTCGCGAGATTCGCACGCGAAACGCGGGATAATTAACGGAGAGAAATTTTTGAAAGTGTTTTCTCGATAGCCGCGATAAATCACGAGGACTCGATTTATCACTCGCCGAGTTGGAGCGGAGCCAACAATCGTGCCTTCTCCGCGAAAACAAGCCTCATCAACGGTACGTCGACCAAAGGCACATAGAAATGATAGTGATGCGCTGCTTTTTTCTTCGTGTTTGCATTTTTTGTCTTCTTTTTTCTTTTTTTTTTGGTTTGTTTCCTCTTTTTCTTCTTCTTTCTCGTCACGTCACAAGGCCAAGGTAGTCAATTACATCGTGATTCATTGCGTCTGGGAAATGTGTCGTTTCGTAATATGCAAACAACGTTTATAAACTGCGGCATAAATTACAATAAATAACGCACACTGGCGCCGAAAACGGTAACTGACGATGCGTTTAACTCGATGAAATCGCTTCACTCCGGCGGGAGAGAGATATTTTCGCAACGCGAGGCCATCGAAATTCGAGCCCGGTATAATTTAATCGGTGGAATTTAATTTAATTCGACTCTGCTTCGATATCTGCTTGAATAGATGAACATCATTTAAAACACTGCGAGATCCGTGTAAATACACTGATTAAGACTCGTCAGAAATGAAACGCATAACTATCACGAAAGTTTGACGTATTGGAGATACGCGAATAAGTACTTGAGATAAAAAAAAGTCGAATCGACCGAAGCCATTTCTTTCGACTATCGGACAGTATTTTATTCAAACGACTTGGACAAATTTTATTTTACATAACTTCCGATAAATCAATTGTACGTTTTGTAACAATCAGTCAATCAATGATTTTTTTAAGGGATTTCAATTCGATTCGATTTGTTAAATTTTCGTATGACTTTCGTACTAAAAATACAATTTTCGTAATAAAATTATAATTATTTTATAATTACAATTTAATTTCATATAATTAATTACATTAATTATATTGTAATATTATATAATTGCATTATTATGTAAATATTATATAATTACATTATAATTATTATATAATTACAATAACATACAATATAATTTTCGTAATAAAAATACTAACAGAATATTTATTTAGATGTTACATATTAATGCAACAAAATTTTATTTATAACAAAATGTTGACGATCGCATTTAATCTAAAAGAGATAGACTCCGCAGAAACAAACAAGAACACTTAATATTTCCCTATCTCTCTAAAAAAAAAAAAAAAAAAAAGTGAAATACTTAAATATTATAATCAGCGTTTAATATTTTGTATTTTGATAATTCATTCGGCGCTCACGATATTCATTAAAGGCTCCGAGAGATCACGAACTTTATATCTCGGTCGATTGAATTGCAATTACTACAAAAACTACATACAGTTGCGCGACATTTAAGCTAATTATTGTATTTTTAAATTTAATTACGTTTCCGTTAGTCGGCAAGTAGTGCTAGTCAAATTATCACTCGGATAATTTGCATTTGCACGGAGAAAATCTTTTATGTTTATAGCTCCTTCTGCGTTAAAAATCTACAAAATTGATTTTGTTCAATATTAAATATATTTAGTATCATCTATTAATTTAATTAAATATCATTTCTACGCTACACAAATCTATTAAGTATTTGGGTGTTTTCAAATTACTGTAAATAACATATCTTTGATATAATTTTGGTCTTTGGTCTTATCTCAGGGCATGAAAGAGACAGTTAATGTTAATTAGTACACACAAAACAACAATAATCGAGAATCGATAAAAATTCATCCCGAGTGTTTGTTCGGTGTTCTTCAGGAATCTTCGAACGATTAGAATATGTTTATTTGAGGAATGTTTTTCAATCAAAAATACCATTGAATCGCGCCAAACGCTTACAAACAATAGTCTACATTTGTAATCGAATATCAAAAACTCGTCAGAGACAGTGTAGATCGTACCGTGACGTTGTTAAAATATCGTTTATGGAATTAGCTTAGAAATAACATTTCAACGACAAACGGCTGCGACGAACACCAGCTCCGACGCCTAAATTAACTAAACTTAGAACGCAGAACATTTGTATTACGTGGATAATTAGATTCGGATCCGTCTAGCGGGCAAGAAGCTGCTAGGAAAACAGAGGGCAATTAAGATAACACGGGACAATTGAATTTCAGATTCGTCGATGGCGAGTGTGGCTCCAGTAGCGGCGACAGCACAGGCCAATTAGAATTAAGTGGCGGTGAACAACCGGAAGAAGCATCCCCGGCATCGATGCACGAAACCAACAACAATAGTCTACTTCATGAAGATTTAGAGCGCAGGATACCGTAGCCGGCCTAATTGCGTCCAAACAACACGGTCGATCCTTCGTTGACAAATCCTACTTCGATGAAGCTGAACTTCGTTCGTCAGGCTGTCTTCTTCTTGTAACCAGTCGAAGAAAAAAGAAAACAGAGAAGAAGAAGAAGAAGAAGAAGAAGAAGAAGAAGAAGAAGAAGACTCTCGGTCGCGAATTGTATTTTTGTAAATTAAACGAGAGCGCGAGAGAAGAGGGGAGAGGAAGAAAAACGAGAGACAACGACAGGAACAAGAGAGGAGAAAGAAGACGAGTTCTTCGTCGAATCGAGATGTGAAAACGAGATGACCAACGGAGAATCGTCGTCGTCGAGGAAACGATCGTTAAACAGCCCTCGAGATTTATCGAAGAAGATGCAATTCGGCTTTTACGAAATGATCCGTCCAAGGTCGACCTCTGGAGATCTTTCGAAGGCCAACAAGCTGGCAAGATTGACAGAGAAAGAAAAAAAGACTGACTTCGCGGCCAGTCGCGACTGGGTGAATTCTCCTTGTCCTTTTTTTTTTCTTTCTTTCTTTCTTTCTTTCCGTTCTGTTCGCGAACATTTTTATTCTTCCCTTTCTCCGGTGGCAAAGCGGCATCGATCTTCGTGAACCGGTACCATCGCTGCGCCCACTCCCGACGTATTAATCATGTGCCAAAGGTACTCGAAGCCGAAACGACGAAACGAGTAAACATCGACGACGTCGCGGTCCAACGATCGAGAGAAATGGAAAATTATGACGAATTCGCCATTGTTCGGAGGAAGATGTATCGTTCGTGGGGGGGAATGGAAAATTTCTGGAACTTGGAAGGATTTCGAGGTCGACGCCGTAAGATCGAATCGCATCGACGACGATAAACGATCGATCGAGTGCAAAAAGAAAAAAAAAGAAAGAATATGAAGTGCGTGAGAAACTGTGATAGAATTTCGTATTAGAACCTCGTTGCACGCGACACCGTGCTAAATACTTTTCTTTTCTTTTTTTTTTTTTTTTTTGTTTTGTTTCTTTGTGGTAATCGTCTACAGTCTGCAAGAACCAATGGAGGACGTTCGTCAGGCCGGAACCGGCCGTCTCCGGAATGGACGATCAAACCGGAGATGACGCGACAAGTCGTTGTCCGACGTCGCAGAGCAACAATGAAAGAAAACTGATGAAAGTGACCGCGATCAAAAGAATCTATCCTATTCGTGGATTCAATCGTCAAACGGTACGCACAACAATTAACGATTAATGTTTCCTTTAAAATTCACTACTTACCGCTGTCAAACGATTCGATGGAAAAAGTTTGTTTCAAAGTTCTCGAAAATGTAAATTCCTATCAAATTCTCTACCTGCTCGCTGTTAAATAATTTCGATCGAATGAAACGAAATTTCGACGAAAGAAGTTGTTCCAACGTTTTTTCAAATACAAATTATATAGATTGTATCGGAGAGATTTCAAGCTGTTCTCGTCATGTCGCTATCTCCTCGAAGTGAAACATATGATAAAATATTAAACGCTATCTATCGAATTAATCAGATAATCGATAGAGCTGAACGTTACAAGAGAAAACAATATTGCTATGTCGTTATTACCGTCGGCGGTGATAATACCAATACAGGAGGAAACAAAGAGCTCCGTTTGACGTTTGAATCGAGTTTTGAAGGAAGCGGGTGAAAGTATGTCCGAGAGACACAGACTTTCGAAGAGTAACGCGTACCTTAGACATATACATATTATAAATATACATATATATGTATATATATATATATATCTATATATTAATATATACGTGTGTATTAGCACGTTGGTGATTAATGCGTATTAATCACGAATGTGATAATATATAATAATTTACTGTATTATCTCGAGAACGGGGACCAGAGACATCGACTTAAGTTACCAAATCTCGCTGAAACGCGAGATAACGCGCCTCGACTAGCTTCGTACGATCGATCCCGCGAGGTTTTTCCACGGTCCTCTCTTCGGTATAAGAGCAGGACGATGCATTTAATCGATGAGATGTGTCATGGTCGATGAATCGTACGAAACTAGTCACGTACGATTTTCATTTCATTCGCCTTAAACTCGTGGATGTTTTTATTTCTCTCTCTCTCTCTCTCTCTCTCTCCTTTTTCCTTCTTCCCTTTCTGTTACTTTCTACCGCGTTTAACCGCCACGACATTTCAATCGCTTCCCTCCGACATTTACTGTTGTACGTGAAACGATACGATCGTCGAGCCTAACCTGAATCCTACGCGTTTGTTTGAAGTCAATACGAATTCTGGTTTCCACGACCTGGTGAAGATTAGCGTGGCCGAACGAATTTAGAGAACGAGAATCCGGATGTTAACGCGTACGTCTGAAAATATGTGATACTTGCCTTGCGCTGAAATCAGCGTCTACTGTCGAAAGAGAAAGAAGAAAGAATTAGAAGTTTATAAATAGTCCTCGCGAACTCTCGCCTGCCTGGATTTTTTGCGAGAAACTGCTTGGAAAAATTGTTTCGAGCGTGAGCTTGCGACACAGTACGGTACGTACTCTCAGAAAATGGCTTCAACGTTTCGTCAGTATTGCGATTGGCCTGATCGGTGATTCGAAAGGACGCTGAATTTAACATTTAGCGTCCTTCGATCTCTGACACTATAGCTGAATATAAATCTAGAAAAACGTTGCCCGCTGTTTCGTATAAAAGAGACTCACGCTAGATAATATCATCCGACAAATCTGTGTTAACTACTACGTATAAATATAAAATTTGTAACGTTTCAAACAACTGATGAAATACATTAGAGATTTGTGGCAGTGTCAAACAGAAAGTCCCGTTCTATTTGCCGGAGTTAATATCGCCGCGGTGTCTTCCTTTCGTCGACATAGTTTCGTATACGTAGTGCTAACTTCTTCGTTAACCCTCTGCGAATCAACGTGGCTTTCCTGTGGCGAAGGGAACGCGACAACGCGACTACTCTAATTGTTACGATCGTGGTTCGATCGTACCACGATATCTAGAAAGAAACTCTCTATCGGAATTTATATTATTATACAAGCGAACCTTGCATTTCTGTGTGAAGCTTCCAACTCCAAGTTTGACGTAACGTACGATTACTGCTTAAGAGAGAAAGTGACATGCGCGTGAAATCCTTGGTAATGAATGGTGTCTCTCTTTGTTTCTTTTCATTCGACACGTTGACCCAGAGCGCGGAAAAGAGAATCAGCTGAGCTAGTTTAGATATTTTAGTATATTCGTACGACTTTTGTATTCCTCTCCCTCTTTTTTTTATCATCATCTTTAAATATTAATGGTTCTTTACGAACATTATCCCTGTCAAATTACTAAGGATTTCCAAGCATACACGCAACTAAATACCATAAGATTAAATGCAAAAAAAAAAAAGAAGAGTGTATATATACTTGAGTTATGTTTCTATGTAGTATATATATATATATATATATATATATATTATACGAAAAATTATCCATAATACATACATATATATACATATATGTATAGAAATATATTTTCTAAACGAAAGAGTTTTATAAGTGACCATATTCTGCAAACGCATTTCTATGCAATCGTGTATATACACGCGCGCAGCGGTTGTGCGTGTGTATCTACATACGTGTTTCGTCGAAAGAAAGAAATCGTGAGAAATGAGAATATATGCATATGTAGATATACAAACGTAACAAATTATGTATATCGTATTATGTATTCGATTCGAAAAGTGCACAATCAATTATTTCCCGGCCCACTGAATGAATAGTGAAATTCGAAGGACTACACAGAAAGTGAAACAGTGAGAAATTCTAAAGATTAAAAAATATGAAAGAGACTAATTTTCTTTTTACAATAACTGTTCGCACTTCAACTTATAATTGCAATTATCCTCAGATAATATACTTGGAAGATAAAAATTTAATCTCTGTTCGAAAACGAACGAGAAACAAATTTCTCTCTCTCTCTCTCTCTCCCTTTTTCTATGATATATTAAAAAATGAACTATTTGTTTGGTTTATTTATATTATTTCTATCTACTTTGTTTATTTAGAACTGTGACACTTGCAAAAGCTATCTACATTTCCCTTGCTATTAAACTCAGGGAGAACGAATCTCTACGAATTCAATTCACAATCAATTTGAACTAACAACGGATCGCAAAGTACGATGAATTAACGATCCATCTCTGTTATATATCGTAACACAATGAACGTTATTTATGACGTTACTTAAATGATCCAGTACAAAGTTTCACGCGAAATTAACATTCTATAAACCAACGATTTCGTACCATTGTTCTAGACTGAAAAACTACGTGAGATTTATCACGAATGTCGATGGCAGCTAACAGTCGCAAGAATCGTTCGATTTCATCGTCGTATTATATTTCCATACTGGAAAGTTTCTTTTTTTCTTCTTTTCTTTCTTTCTTTTTCGCGACTATGTTTGTTGCGTTTGCAATGCTAAGAAATAATTGAGTGTGTACGATTAATCCGGATGTAATGTACAAACACTCACACACACACACGCACACACAAAGACAGGCATGTGCACGAGGAGTTTGCGCACACGTATACATATATGTATAAGCATACGATTAAATAATAGACATGAACGACGCGAGAAACGGAAATGTATTGTCTTACAATGATGAGTCGCAAATGCGGGAACTTCCTTTCGTGTTGTAAATTGTCGCGATTGTAAAAAGCGTTTCGACGGATTGATATTTTTTTTTTTTTTTTCTTTTCTCCACTTAGGATACGTATCGATGCTGACTTCTTTTTCATCTCCTTTCTTTCTTTCTTACGTTTCTGTTCGTTGGCAAAGTTCGACGAGGATATATCGCGCAATCATGAAATCGAATTTACCGTTAACGTTAGAAAGTATGAAGAAGTTCTACGCCATATTTTTCATGGTTCTTTTATTATTATTATTATTTTTTTTTTTTTTTTAATGTTATCGTACTCTTTCGAAGGAATATAACAATCGAAGCTAACGGTGATACACATTTACCATCCCATTACACGTTCATACTCACTGATCAGAATTGCATACTTCAAGAGAAAACATATTCCTATGCCACATATTAGTTTATATCTGCGCACCATATTATTGTTATCGCTATGATACCCTACGATTTGTATTATTATTATTAATTATTATTATTAATATTATTAATATTATTACTGATGTAGTTTAATGTCACGTTAGTACAATTCTTGTCATTTCGGGTCGATCGACGCACTCTGTGCGAACCCCCATGTTCCACGATGAACACGGATCATGATATTATTTATCGCTGATAACGATAGGAACTGAGTAAAAAAAAAAAGAAATAGTATTTGCAATAGAAATTAATCGCACAAATTAAGTTTTAACACGTTTCTCGTTCGAAATCTATCGTATGTTTCTTTCTTTCTTTCTTTCCTTTTTTTTTTTCTTTCAAAATTAATCGCGAATGAACGAATCGACCGACACTTTTTTACGTGTTTCGAATGCTATTTTTGTTTGATAATGAATTACAGAATTTTACTAGCGTACGTGCATAAACGAACGAGGGAAATATTTTGTAAATATAATATAGCAAATAGTGAACGATACGTCGCGTTGATCGAACATCACGCGTAAAGTGGAGCATCACTATATTTGTAGATACTGAAAGAGGTTTCGGAGAAAATATTTCAACTGGAATCCTCCCTCGATTCGGCCACTATTCATCTAACATTTCAACACGCATAAAATACGCGCTCATACTTTCTTGCGACACGTGATACGGAAAACGAATTTTCAAGAGAATCAGTCCCGTTCGCTAATTTTACTAAGGTACTTAATTTCTGAAACAGGGTGCAATCTTTTTATGGCATGTATTCGTCCTCTAATATTTTACGATTTGAATATTGACTACTGATTTGAATATTGAGAACTTTTCTGGAACATTGGGAATTGTCTTCGAGTTAGATAAAAGAAAGTTGAACGAAAGTTTTGAAACAACTGTGAAAAAGGGAATTCGAAGTTTTGAGCGTCGATTTTATTTCAAAGGAATATGTAAACCTCATTATTGAAACGTGAAATGCAACGTATGAAAATATTACACAGAAAACTCTGACGACGTTCTAAAGATTATAAACAGCGCTTTAAATATATAAATATATATATACGTATACATTTGTGTACAAAACAGAAATATAAACCTCCTAAATAAAATGAGCTGGCCTCTGCAAGCCCTGTTTTACGTAAAAAGTACGTCTTTTTTATTTTATTTTAAAATGTTCATTTTGAAACCTCTTTATTCAGAAATACAAGAATTTATATCAATATATTATCTTTATTTCTGGCATTACAATTTAATCATTTCAAATTATATTTCTTTCATTATATTATAATAAATTTTATTTTATTTTATATTATCTATTTTGGTATACTACTATAACTAGTCTTTTTATGACCCTGTTAATAAAGAGGGCGTTAGTGTTCAATTTTTATAAACTTCCTAACCTGGGATCTTTTTTTGAGTTTGATATTTTTTAAGTAAAAATTTAAATAAAAGGTTAATATTTAGATCTTCATTTAAAGACTTCTTCAAAAATATTAACGCGACGATGCAATCTAAATGTATGTATAAAGATATTTATATATAAAAAAGAAAATTAGAAATGTTACTTTAGGTTATGATCTCATATTGTTTGTTATTGTTAAGCTTGTTTTGATCTGTTAAAAAATTTTATATACAGCAAACTCAGTGTACATAAATACAGTTTTATATAATATTATTTTGAATTGTTTATTAGACATGAAAGAGAAAAACAGCCTGTTGGATTTGTCAAGTGGCAACACATTATTAAACAAAGCAACAAATGATAAAACGTCTGCAAATGATTCAGATATATTATTGAATGAAGAAACAAATAATACAATTACAAATATGACAGGAGATGAAATTTTCAAAACTCTATCTTTATCGAAATTGCAACGTCTTCCTGATGGATTTGCTGATTATGTATCAAAACTTGTTGATCTTAATTTGTGTAATAATTATGTTCATGATCTACCAAGCTCTTTGAACATGCTAACTGGACTGGTATCTTTAAATCTAAATAATAATCAATTGCATTCGCTCCCAGATGTAATTTGTGAATTAAGCAATCTGAGAAAATTATGGGCTTGTGAAAATAAAATAAATCAACTTCCTAAAAATTTAGGAAATTTATCAAATTTAAAGATCTTGTCCTTAAATATGAATCAATTAACGTATCTTCCAAATTCATGTGCAAAATTAAATCAATTAGAAATTTGTAGCCTCAGTGTCAATCAATTTAAAAGAATGCCAAATTGTATAGCCAAAGGAATGAAAAATCTACAAATCCTCAATTTGTCACATAACAAACACATAAATTTGAATGTTTATCCCAAGAGTATTAAGTTGACCGCATTTTACGCAGAAGAAAATGGTAAGTGCATTTCATTTCCAAAGTGGATATTGAGCTCTAGCTATAAAAAGCTTGAAACAGTATCACTGAATGAAACTAGATTTCAAAAATTCAGTTTGCTAAAAAAAACATCTAAATGCCATATTAAAAGATTTTTTATGAAACAGTGTGATCTAAATAGTGAAATTATTGAAAAAATAATCACCGAGATGACAGATCTTGAAGAATTAATAATTGGAAATAATAAAGCATTTCATCCAAATTATTTTTTATTCATGCCCATTAACAAGAAAAGAAAACCATCTAGTGTCAAAATAATTGATATACAAGATACTGGACTTATGGAACTACCCAAGACAATAGAAAGATTCGTAAATCTGTATGATTTGAACTTAAGTTCCAATAACTTACTCTTCTTACCAGAAGAAATATGTACTTTGAAGAATTTGAGCATTTTAATAATGGACAACAATCACTTAGTATGTCTTCCTGAAAATATTGGAAAATTAACATCTTTGAAAGAATTAAAACTGCGTCACAATGAATTGAACAAACTGCCTGAGAGTATAAACTTATTATGCAACTTGGAGTACATGGATCTGTTTGATAATGAATTTGAATCAATGCCAGAAGTAATAGAAAGCTTACCAAATTTGAAAGGACTGGATCTAGAACAAAATTATTTCTCAACTGAATGTTTATGGGTAAGAGCATAAACGGAATACAATGGCTGAAACCAAGCCAAATTTCATTTAAGATCAATTTAACAATTCACTTATTTAAAAAAAAAAAACATTATCATGCAATTTTTATATTAATAAATCAAATCAATAGTATAGGTATAAATATATGAGAGATAATTTGAGAAATTATTGGACGAATTCTACATATGATTGTGAATTTATTTCTGGAGTCAAATCGAGGTCAGACAGTGCAATAAATCTATCGTCATCATCGAATTTTTCTGAAAGTTCTTCACTCAAAACAGAATATATTTCCAATTCGTTGTAAGTTAAAATTAATTAAGTTAAAGTTTCTTATTTCGCTTGCTATTAAAATATTTTTATTTTAGACCAAAGGAGCTGTATGATGAGTACGAGTTTAAGGAACATTGGGATACCTCAGAAGATTCGGCCGACGAATTTGATCCTCATGGTAAAATAAAATTATATGAATTTCATAATTCTACCGACACGATAACTATTTAATTAAAACTTCATGTCATCTCTTGTTAAAGCGAATGCATTTGTAAAACATTTATGAATCTTTGATTCTGTGTAACAATTTAAATAGGTATTTGTAATGATATACATATTTCATTTTCAGAAAATAAGGAACCAAAGCCACGGTTTTATCCCCCTTTAAAGTTTTATCAGCCATATCAACAAATATTTTGTCCTTCAGACTTTCACGAGACCCGCGTTATAACACGAATTAAAAAGATGTTACAGAATGGGACTTTAGTTTGGTCATCAAATCATGAGGAAGGCCAATTCGAAGATCCCTAAACTAAAAGACTGATATTTGTACAAAAGATAGTTCAATGATTCTTAATTGAATTATATTACTACTTTTACTAAGTATTATTATTACTTATTATTTTTCATCAGACAAGTTTAAAGGAAAAAATACGAGTTAATTAAATACTTTTAAGTTAATAATGTTTGGTAGAATAATAGAATTATTACCAAATTTGATAAGTGATTCTTTAACTGTCTTTTGCTTTTATACTTAATTATTTGTATAATTTAATTTAATTTAATTTTAATTTTAATTTGGATAAAAATACTCAAGGAATAATTTAGACAAATTACCAAACTAATAATAAACACGCTGTGTTTTTGCAGATGATCATACATATAATATTTATAATTGTGGAATACAATTTTTTTTTTTGTTAATAGTTCACAATTATTTTTACAATAGGTTTATAAAAATAAGCGAAGACTGATAAATAACTGTTATCATTAATTTTCATACAGTTTTAAATAATCAGTTTTTAGAGGATATCTTTTATCAATATTTAGTTATTATATAGCAATTCATGTACTTGTAAAATTCAATTTTGATCGTGTTACTCTTGATACTCTTCCAGAGTACAATTTTTAATTCTAATAAGATATACATTCCACATATTAATAGAAATTATGTGGTACAAAAATTGAGATCAACATTTATCTTTGTATATTTTCGTATACTATATACTTTTAATACAAAAGTAAAACGTAATGTTCAATTTCATCGCCATATGGTTAAAAAATTATAAACAATAAAATGTTTGTAATCTTTGTAATCAGAAATATTGCCACGAATATTTCTACAATAAAATAAAATAATATATATTGTAAAATGGAGTTTTTAGTTGATAGTTGAAGAAAATACATTGTGTTTGAATTGTTTATAGCTCTTTTACAAATGCTTTGCCTCGTGCGAACGGCAAAGTTTGACTTGCGATTCTGAAATATATCTCTTTATATCGTTTTTTATGGAAATTCAAATGCATAATTTCGTACCTAGATAGTAGATATTTCTGCTGATGATGATGATAACCGGCGATATCACAGTTTTTTCACAGAACGAAAATTTTATAACGTAACGAACGAACGAACTGCAACGGTCACTGCAGTAACGCGCGCGATCCATCTTCGAGAATCGAAAGATCGATACTCTCGAATTCAGAAAGGATCACGTGACACTGCTCTTAAACGCGGGATTTTATGATTTGTTTCGTAACAATTAAAATGATTAACACAATACCAGTGCCAATACATATTACGTTTATTAAAATGTTGAAACAAAATTTTAATGAAATAATAAAATGATTTAATAAAATAAAAAGTAGTGAGAAAACAAAGAATTTTGTTAATATCACATAGTATTATTACCGTAATAAGATTTGATATTTTTATGATATCTCTGTGGTTATTGTTTCCTTTCTGTTTTTTTCTTAACTATTTTAAATATTCGTTCTTAAGTAATCATCAGAGTGCTGAAATAGCAAATGAAATAGTAGTTTATTTACACGTCTCGTTGAAACATACATTCGCCAGTTCTTCTGTTCTTCGTAATTCCTCTTTCCTTCTTTTTTTCTCTTCCTTCTTTCTCTTCGCTTTCCATTTGTGTAGTTCTTTCTTCTCACGTCGTATTTTATCTATATATACAGGTAAGCTGAGTATAATAATACGCATGACATGAATTTAAATATTGAAATCGTATTCTATTTACCTCTAGAATTCAAGATACATCTACAACATTTGCATTGGTCCTTTCGAACGATTCGTGGCATTTTTTCGCATCTCTTCGCAACTATCTTGTCCAAAATTTTCCTTAATTCAAAACAGAATCGTTATATTACTAATAACTTTACAACAAGATGCATCACGTAATTTTAAATAAAATTATTTGCGTGAATGATCGTGATGCATCCTGCCTATCTCCAAATTCTATCGTACCAAGATTCCTCCTTTTTACGCACTTCCTATCCCGATTATTCTGATCCTTTTCCTTTTTCTTATTCTGGCAGCTTCTCTTCTCTTCCTTCTTCGGTTCACGAACAGAGGTCAAACTTTTGATAGAATCGTCAGTACCAATCCGATGATCTACTACGTAACGCGTTTGATAAATTTGATCACACATTTCACATTTCTCTGTACAATCTTCTATATCCGAACAGGAACAAACGTCATCGTCATTCCACTCCAAGTTATCGGTGAAGGTGTTTTTATCCTTTTTATTCACGTTCCGGATGTGCCTAAATTCGAAATATGTAAATGAAAAGAATTTGCGAAATCCAATACTGAAATCAACTCGATATCGTAAGTTAAATTGATCTGCGGCATTTTCAGAATTATCTTCGTGTATCAAAAAAGAAGTTGATTTTTCCAAAAAACAACTTAATTTATTATCATGTTACATTGATTTGAAAAGAAAAATGATAAAATTGCGCTGCAAGTGATAAAAATTTAATTAAAAAGAATGTACAAGGTAATTCATTGTAATTGTAGTTGTATTACGGAATTATCAACTTGATGATAACATCGTGGATGTGCACGTTGATAAAAATGCACGGTCAGATTACGCTCAGTTTCTCTACGATAATTACTTGAATCGCGTACCACGTGCCTTTGAATGATTTCGCTTGTAATAGAAGTAGACACCGACAAGGCAAATGGTAACAAAGAATAGAACGAACAGAATTGAACACCAGATCGACGTGCGTACGGCGGAACCAATCTTCCTCGGTTGGAGGTTCCCTTTCTTTTTCAATCGATGACTCTTGTGACTGAGGGAAACGAAATCGACGAGTTTGAAAAATATTTTGCTGCAGAATGAGAAGGATGGAATATGGAATTCAGTTGAATAGGTCTCGATAGAAAATTGTTTACCAATGGCTATATCATTCCTTTATTGAACTCTTGAATATATACATATGGTGTTTCGAATTATAATTGATAAAATCATTAATCGTCGACAATAATTTTAATTGTACAATTGATAATTCTAAAAAGCGATAGTGAAATGAAAAATTCTTACGATGCAGGGTGTGCTGCTGCAACGATCATTGCCCTTTTCACTCCTTTATTTTGCGCTTTGGAATTTCCGCGATGCTTCATCTTTTTCTTTTTTGTCCTTCTCTTCTTCGTCATTACACGAGTATTTGGATTTTTGTCCATTTCCTGAGCCTGCCTTCTCGACACTCTGTGTCCTGGAAATTCTAACGTGCCTGCTACATCGTGACCCTCCGTATCAAAGAGTTTAATCAATCTGGGATTTTCTCTCACGTACTTTGCCAGGTCGGGTCGTCCTAACCATCTTAAAGTCATTTCCATTGCTGCCCGTCCGGTTGGTTTCATATTTGCTACGAAAAATTGTCACTGTCTATACCTTTCCCATTATTTTTTGTAATCACCAGATTAGCGAATTTAAATCTTTGTTATCAAAAATTAAATTTTACCAATCAACTCTATATTTCTTGTAAATGTATTTCAAACTCAACAAAATATCAATCACATTGTACAATGTAAAAAATACATTAGAGTAAAGAAATAATCTACTTTAACACTACGATTATCTAAGTTAATTCCATTTGTTAGCTTGTTACTTGGAAAATCATGTTTCCATTGTTCAAGATTAAGAAGGCATTCCTCCGACGTTATTGGCATTCGACTCAAGTCTTCACGTGGTGTCTCGCGATTCTTCACTTTACGTTCCATTCTCGTTGGAGTTACTTCGTATACAGCTTGCACAAGTTGCAAACACTCCAGGGCGTTCAATTTCTGCGACAAGTGCACAAGCTCGTGCTCTTCTACGTTGGCGATGCATCGTACCAAAAAATTTTCCTTAAAAAAGGGAAGGAATTTTTTTTCTTTGAAAGAAATCTACAGATTTTTACACGACAGACTCGACTTCTGCAGATTTTCTAAAGAAAATTGTTCAAAGAAACGTGCAACGCAAAGGACGGAAAACACAATATTGTGCAATTAAAAAAATCATTTGATTATCTTCGCACTGTCTTATCGGTGTATCGTTGACGCGTTATCGCGCGATACGATATTGATTCCTGATTAAAACTAAAGTCCTAGCTCAAATTCCTAGGCGCTCACCTTGTTTTCCACAAAAACCACAATCAAAATATAAATCGAGCATACAAATTTCATTCTAAAGTTCACTATGAGATCGGTGAATTACATTTTGTCGTTCAGGCGAGAAAATATGTACTTTTGACAGGTCCACGATCGACAGTCGTTTTCAATGATATCGATTATGAACAGCGATTTATATCATTGAAAACTGAAAAACTGACACTCTCGTTTATAAATTATTAATCGCGCAATGTTAAAGGCTGCATTCACAGCGCACGTACAAGATTCTGTAGAACACATTAACTTGAAGCATGAAGTTGGACGTTGTTTCTCGTTGAAAATATTTCAGAATATCATTCTGTATCGTTGTGAAAGTATAGCAAATAGAATAAAAGCAATCATTCTGTATCGCTGTTTTTACTAAATAAAGCCAGTTATGTTGAGCAAGATAACATTTTTAAGGTTTGATTCTTTTTATTACGTCAGCGTTGCTTCTGACATGTTAACCAATCGATCACGTTCATATCAAGGATATTGAGAAGATTCGACTCGTACGTAAAAATCAGTGCCACGTATCTTTCTTGAAGATTGTGATGAATCAACTCGAAACATGTAACTAAACCGTGTTAATCTCTTGAACCCTCGATGAACTTGCGAAACGTATTAAACGATGCACTGTTTCTTCTTCTGCTCAATCTTACCAGCTCCTTCCTCCAAGTACGCTTTGTTTCAATTATTCAAGTGAAACTCGAAACGAGAACCACCCACAAAAATTCATTCCGTTTAAAATCGCTTTTTACCATTTGCAAAGGTCATTACCGAGGTTGACGTGCCAGAACTGCAGCTGCTCGCGTCGAATTTGAAGCCCGAAGAGTGTGTGAAACTTGTGTCCTTGGACTCTGACAGTGAGCATTAAACGTTACGTTGCTTCGTGAAAATTAACTTTGTACTTTGTACATTGCCGTTCAAGCGTGCGAAGTATTCTTGAATGCTGACGATGTGTATTTAACAGCTCGACTGTCGGAAGCGCAAATAGAGAAGTTAGCTCGAGAGCAAAATTGCTTTCGGAGGCTCGTGAAATGGGTTTGTCACTTGAAAACTGTTACGAGGAACACGTATCCGATCTTGAACAGCCTCCTTGAACGCATCGGCAGGAGAGATTTAATCGCGTGTCTTGCAGAGCTCAGCACGAAAACATCCAAGTCACCGAAAGTGATCCGCGAAGCTCGAACGGATGATCCCGAGTAAGTTGACGAAATATTTAAATACATAATTTATTTGTCAACTACGATTGAATAGCAATATTCTTAGAATGTCACGATAAGTTGTTCTTTTTTGTTCCGTGACGTTTCTCAGCGATTACGAGGAAACAGCCACGACTGTACCGACGAAGAAAGAGAAAGATAGTGATAGCGGCCAAGCTCAACTCTCGGATCAAATGATCGAAAAGATCAGTGGTAATGTTTTCACATGAACGGTCATGTTTTCAACTGTAGCAGCGTACCTTTAATCGTAATGTATTTCGATCATCCGCAGGACGTACCACTATCAAATTGTCGTTGCACAGCGCAGGCATCGTTGTCGCTTCGATCATACTTGTAACCTGTTTGTGCACGTGTTTATGCTCGTATATTGTAAGAAGGAGACTGACGAAAATATACGAAAAAATACGGGGGAAGAGAAAGAAAGGGTAATTGTTAGGTTTCGTAATTTTAAATTAACTAAATTTTAGGATAAATTAAAGGGTAAATTAAAGGGTAATTGTTAGGTTTCGTAGTTTTAAATTTTAGGGCAAATTAAAAGGTAAATTAAAGGTTTCGTAATTTTAAATTAACTAAATTTCTTTCGAAATTTCGAAAGTTGAAAATTTTAGTTCACTCGAAACTTTCACTACTGGAGTGACGCTTTGATTTTTTAACGAATAGATGTTGCAAGTTTATCAAGCGTACAATGTATCTATACGTGGATTTACAGTACGAGTTTACTCACATATTTATTACCTGATAACTAATATTCGAGCTTCTCTATCTGCTAGACAGTAAAAAACAATGAAGCAATGATATTCTTTGCTTATGAATTTTACTTCTTATCAACGGAAAGATTATTCGAAACAATCATCCCCTTTATCCCGTTTATTGTACTTTCGCGAATGCTCATCAAAGTATCTCCTTTTTTAATTTAAAAATCTACGTTATGTTAAATTCCGGCTATTTTTATCGCCGCGAACGAAAATTATTTATTTATTATTAAGAATTTGACATTTTTATCAAAACGCAGCGGTTAAACTATTTTCGAAACTCAAGAATCATTCTACGTTTCAGATTCATTTTATTGTTTCGCGACTCGAGAGTGAATTTAATAGATTGTCTTTCGATTAGTAAATTCATAGAGGATGCGCGGGACGTGTCTAGAAGTTACTTCGTTCGAAAGCCACGGGCAAAAAGGAAACGACCTCCGTCGTACGAAATGGTGCACACGGCCACGGAAAACGCCACCGTGGCGGCACCTCCGCCAAAGGAAGAACCGGAAGAACCAGAACTGCCAGCTTGTTACAGATGCTTCAAGAAGAAACGAAAGAAAAGCACCAGAAGGCCAAACAGATGAAGCTGATGTAACTAAACGTACTGATCTAAGACAAACGTTGAAAGATCCGCAAATGAACTGTATAAAGAGAAACATCTTAAACGTTCCATTGTGTAATTTTTCTTCGTACACGATGGCGACAAAATTTTAACCGCAGAGAAATTTTGTCGGTACACCGTGAACGTTATCTAATCTGAAATTTCATTGACAGAATAATGAATAGATTTTTATGCATTTGTAGGAAACTTTGAATTTACGCGTGATATGAAAACACGTGCAACACGTCTAAAGTACCTTTTAGAATATTTTGTGCGTAAAACAATTCTCTATCAAGTTTCTTCGAGAGTAAATTTGAATAAAAATCGTATATTGATAAAATTTGAAGTCAAGTCGATAAACGTATGTACATACGTAGAAGCTACAGAAGACATTTATTACTCTTAATAAATTATTAGTCAAATATCATCCGACGTTGGTGGTCAAATTATCAAATCGTCTGAAGTTGATTCTCTTCTGTTTGAAATTTGTCAAAATTCGCTCCGTCACTTCGTCAATTTCTCGCGAAACAAGGCGAATGATTATTTTGCTCGTCCCGTTTTGTTAACCTGAAGCGATGAGGGAATTATCTCGGACGCACGAGTGGCCCGTACGGTTAAGCCTCATCGTTATTCTATCGCGATACGATGTCCTCGGCACGATCGACGTCAATTTAAACGAACTGCAGTATTTAGCCGCGCGTCTTAATCCCTTCGAGTGCCGACGCTTGATAGCTGCACTTCATTACACAAGTTACGAGCTACCCAGCAATTTAGCGGACGCTGGTAAAGACCGATCAGTGATTGCAACAACGACACCATCTGTCCTTTCGATTGAAAGAAATGTAATATCGCGATCGTAAGATCAGTTAAGAAAATTAAACCTCGAGTGGTTGGACAGTTGGAGTTTGATAGATTTCAATTTCAATTAATATTTTCATTATATTCGTTTTTCAAATTCTTTTCAAATTACTCGTAGCTCTAGCTTTTCAGAATTTAAGTCGAATGATACACTTTGGATATTCGTGCGTTTGTGGGATTTAAGAGTACAATGTTCGTAGTATGTACTTGACCACAGAACGTTCACGGTATTTAAAAATATTATAATTATATAAATAATTACATAAAAATTATATAAAAATTATATAAAAATTACATAAATTATATAAATAATTATATAAAAATTATATAAAAATTATATAAATTATATAAATAATTATATAAAAATTACATAAATTATATAAATAATTATATATAAATTATATAAATTATATAAATAATTATATAAAAATTATATAAAAATTATATAAATTATATAAATAATTATATAATTATATAATAATTATATAATTATATAATAATTATATAAAATATTCGCAGCATATAATAGTTCATAAAAGTATGAATTTGCACAAATATCCAATATCTAGTTACGACCGCGTTTCATATTTACGATAACTGATTTTACTCGCCTCTTAATCTGAGACAATTTTCAAATTATATTCGATCGATCGCGATTGAAAGTTCCATGCTCGTGCAACAACATATTTCTTTACCACTAAAATTTAACGACCTATATCTCTTTCACTGAAAATAACAATTTGTCTCCGATGGCTGATAATAATATCGATAATCTTGCGAGCAAGAGCGCAACGTGGACGACGATATCCCTTGCATTCGACATCTTGCGCACTGGAACAGTTCACCAGCCGAAGGCAAAGGCAAAACGCACGAGGTTCTCGCTCACAGGCTTCGGCAGATCAATCGAAATGATCTGGCAGATTGGTTGGGCAAGTCCGCGTTCATGCAAATAGGAAAAGATCTCGGCAGGGCGGTGGTAAAGCCATTCGATGAACTCAGCAAAGAAGAAACAGAATTGCCGTAAGTTTCGCGCGATCGTATCGGAACGAGTGACTCAATAATCTTGATACAATATTACAGCGACTTAACACAAAAGCCTTCTGTAATACACCTTGATAAAATTCGCTCTACATCTCTAACCAATTTTAAAATTTATCGTTTTTCCTTTTTCTTTTCTTTTTTTTTTTTTTTTTTTTTCTCATCCTGCAACATCCTCCTTCTCCACGCGATACATAAATCAAACAATCTCTCGCTGCATCAGCCGGATTCCGTGCGAGATCTTCGTCGTTTGAAAAAATATACACGTTTTTGTTGCATTAACATCGTTGGAAATACTATTTGTAGGCGTGAGTGGAACAAATAGCATGGACTTTTATTGAAATACAAATCTTGTATAAATGTATGAACCGTTTGTTGCAATGATGAATTTTTTGAAAAGGATTTTTTATCAAATTATTAAATTGAATAATATTTATTTATAATATTGATATGTAATAGCGAGTGATATGTAATACAGGCTGAACTCAAAAGATTTATAATAGTATTTATAATAGTAGATCAGTTTATGATATTTAGTATTTTAAAGATTTATAATAGTATTTATAATAGTAGATCAGTTTATGATATTTAGTATTTTAAAGATTTATAATAGTATTTATAATAGTAGATCAGTTTATGATATTTAGTATTTTAAAGATTTATAATAGTATTTATAATAGTAGATCAGTTTATGATATTTAGTATTTTAAAGATTTATAATAGTATTTATAATAGTAAATCAGTTTATGATATTTAGTATTTTAAAGATTTATAATAGTATTTTAATGATTATTTTATTGAAATTTGCTAAAATATATATATATATATATATATTATATAAAATTTATATATTTATATTATATAAATATTATATATAAACACTGAAATATTTCAACAATAACAATCAAATATTTAAAAAAAATTTTCTTTAGCACTTGATTATTCATACTAGATAAGTAATGATTATTTACTGAAAATATTTCCTATCTCATGCTATATATCCAACATTCGGTATTTTTAAAAAATATCTCTTTTATATTAATATCGATTACTAATATTTCCATCCCACATTCCATATTTCATATATCATATCTAATCTTCCTACATTTCGCATACCCTGTCACTAATTCTCACCCCTTCACCTAACTTCCGTTGTAACTTTTTCTCATGAATTTCCCACAAAAAGATATAAAATTTTTAGCCTACATGTAAATTTCGTTATTCAAACGAAATAAATTTTCTAGTCCCCAAATTTCTCGCATAGGTAATTTCTCTGAAATTTGCCATTTCACGAAAATGAAATTCGTAGCTCACAAATCTCCCCCAGAAGTCATTTGTGAACATCTCCGAAATCTGTTAGTTCACAAGAATGAAATTTGTAACCCACAAGTTTGACAGTAAGTTTCGCGAGTAGTTTCAGAATCTCTTGTCCCATAAAAGTAAGTCTTGCAGCTTATTTTACGGTCAAAATTTCTAATTCTAACGCGATTCATTTTATAGTTGAATAATTTCGCGGATGCCCAGAAAAATTAGTTTTGCAATTTCTCAATTCCCCAAGTAGAGATATCATGATACATGTAATGTTCTCTCTCTTCAAAGTCATGACAAAGTTTGACGATTTTTCATCGTCAACGGTACAGTTACACTTTCGAACGACAAGATACAAAATGCAAACCTGCGAGATCCCCTGATTGTCGCGGTAAGAACAAAAAAAAAAGAAGAAAAAAGAAAGAAAAAAAAAGAACAAAAGGGAGAGGAAAGTATTATGGAAACGAGAAGGAGAACGTTACGTTTTACCACAAACGGCTTGCTTCAGCTTCCTGTCAGCTTACTGTTACTTTCCACCGATCGCCCGCGCGCGATCGCTCGATCTTGGCAGACGATTTCGCGTGCGTACGATCGCTCTGGATGGAAAGTCGGAAACGTTGGTCATCCAGCGATGAAACAGGCGAGAGACCTTCGAGAGGCGTCCACCTCCGGCGGAGATGAAAGTTTCTGCAGTTTCTGGCCAGCCGTCACGAGCAATTAGAGCGCAAGATCCACGTCTCGTCTCGAGGAAGAGGAGGAGGAGGAACGGAGTTCGTTGCAGCAACCGCGTTCCACCGAGCGGTGCCTCGCTTTCTCAAGTTCTGGGTCACCGGGTCTTCTGTTCGTCGACTCGGTCCAAAACAGGGATAAGAGCCAGTCAATCCGGTCTTGTACGTTCGAGACTCGTGTCCACGATCGTCGAATCGATCGCATCTGCGCTCGCTTCTTCTTCTTTCTTTTTTTTCTTATTTTCCCTTTTTCCGCCTCTTTCTCTCTCTCTCTCTCTCTCTCTCTCTCTCTCTCTCTGCTCTTGTGAGGCGTCTTTTCACCGATTGACACCATTTCTTAACCTTTCCTCGATGAACGATAAATTATAACTTAACCTCTCGTCTCTTAGTATCGGCACTTTTAGCTGGAGACGTGTATGGTTTTCGATTGAAGAGAAAATGAGAAGATCGTAGAAGAAGGCAGAAACAAATTTGTGATGGTATCAAGAAGCATCTAGCTGGCTAGCTGAGGTTGATTCTCTTCTATTTTATCTGGTGCATAGAGTCATTTGAATTTTGAACAACAAATAATTTTTAGTTTCTCACTATGTTTCATAACCTGTTAAAAAAAAAAGAAAATCTTTGAAAGAAGTAATTGTAGATTCAAAGTAGAAATTTTGTCCTTTAAAATGAGCATGCGTTTACGTTACGAGGTTACAAATCGAGAGTTCAAAAATCAAGACATTTTTTCAGTTACAAGTTTACAGATTCTTTAATTTTGCGAAGTAGTATATATCGATATATGTACTTAATATTTTTATAATATATTTTTATTATATTAATATTTAGCTAAAGAATGAATATAATTTTTATAATATATTTATATATTAATATTTAGCTAGAGAATATTAATATATTAATATATAATAATAATATGAAATATATAATAATATAATAATATTAATATGTAATAATATATAATAATATTAATATATTTAATATATTAATATTAATATTTTTATATTAATATTTAGCTAGAGAATGAATATTTTTATAATATATTTTTACATTAATATTTTTATATTAGCTAGAGAATGAGAATTTTTATATTAACATCGACTGAAAAATATATCATTCCATTTACGAAAATCTCCGAAATCCCCCACTTGCAAAAAAATCTAATAGAATTCCCTAATCTAGTAGAGCAATAAAAAAAAAAAAAGAAATGCTATAGAGCAATAACTATTGTTCACAAAATTTTTTCATCTCTCCAGAAACGGAGATATTTACGTTGATAAGTGAAATATCTCGTGTAACATCGCAACGTGAATTATTCCAAAAAAAAACACACAAAAAAAAAAGGAAAAAAAAAAACAATGGGAATTTTTAGAAATGGTTCGCACAATTTTATCGTGCACTTAGACAATTTAACCGAGTGGGAGGCTCGTCAATTGAAAGAAACGGATTACAAACAACGAAACGCCATCCGTATTGTTCTCGTTCAATGCTAATCAGGTGTGGCTGGAGACATGCAAAGCGCGCATAGTGGAATCTCCATAACGCCGAGAGGAAGTCCGTTTACGCGAGTGTGCGTGCGCGAATTCAAAGCGACATCAAAATCGAAAAAGAGGAAACGTTCATTGTTCCATCCGCGGTAGAAAATGTGGAATGGTGATCGTTCGAGCGAGCATAAACAGGAGAAAATCGTCTGGCCACGCAGCTGACAATTACGATGCGTTTTACCGTGCGTTTCCTCTGCTTTGTTTGATCGGTGATCAATCGTCAATAAATTTTCATCTATCTCGAAATTCTTTCGTTCTGAAGATTTCCTGCGTTTCACTAGAGTTTTAACGAAATATTCTGTGTAAAACGTGTAATATATTAATAAAGAGGTATATTACAAATGTATTATAATACATTATAAAAAGGTATATTATAAATATGATATATTATAAAAAATTTTATTATAAATATAATATATTATAAAAAGTTTTATTAGAAATATAATATATTTTAAAAGACATATTACAAATATGATATATTATGAAAAGATATAATATAAATATAATATATTATAAAAAGGTATATTATAAATATATATATAAAAAGATATATTATGAATATAATATATTTTAAAAGGCATATTACAAATATAATATATTTTAAAAGGTATATTATAAATATAATATATTATAAAAAGGTATAATATAAATATAATATATTATAAGAAGGTATATTATAAATATAATATATTTTAAAAGGTATATTATAAATATAATATATTATAAAAAGTTTTATTAGAAATATAATATATTATAAAAAGTTTTATTAGAAATATAATATATTTTAAAAGACATATTACAAATATAATATATTATAAAAAGATATAATATAAATATAATATATTATAAAAAGGTATATTATAAATATATATATTATAAAAAGATATATTATGAATATAATATATTTTAAAAAGCATATTACAAATATAATATATTTTAAAAGGTATATTATAAATATAATATATTATAAAAAGGTATAATATAAATATAATATATTATAAGAAGGTATATTATAAATATATTTTAAAAGGTATATTATAAATATAATATATTTTAAATATAATATATTACAAATATAATATATTTTCTGCTATAACTTGATCGTACAATTTGATTGTTTTGTGGCGAGGATAAATCTTAAGAAACTCAGTAATCTCTCATAATGGTGTGATTTGATCGAAAGAATATCTTTTAAACTAGAAAATTTTTATCATGGTGCAAGAAATGGAAATATTTCTCAAAAATTTCTCATTTTTCTTTTATGCTTTTTCTTTCTTTCTTTCTTTTTCTTTCATGCTCTGTCATTCAGAAATTATTTCAATTATTTTGTGTTTCTTTTTTTGATCCTTTGACAATTGACGAACTGTTTGTAAAATCGAAAAGAATTCAATTTCCTATTTATTTATTGTTATTTTGCTTGGTTGAACTTGCAATTTACTCGGTCCCATTTTTAACGCGGAAAGAAATTTCTGCAAAAACCACCGCAAACAGTGTTCAGAAGATAGTTCTGTTTAGTTTAGAGAAATTCCAAACAAAAAGTCTGCGAGAGTACCCGCGTTTGTGCAATCTATTGCTTGAATTTTTATGTCTCGATTACGCATTGCTTTTAACAGGAAAGCGGATTTTTCCGGAGCTCGTTTGCAAGTGTAATTAGTCTTTGGTTCTTTCTTGACATTTTCACTTCCTCAGCTCGCTAACAAGCAAAGATATTCAGAATTTTGCGGAAA